ATTTGATGAAACAACACTATTGTTTTAAATAATATTTTTTAAAAGTTTCTTTCAAAATTTAGTAATTCGATTTATTTAATTTGGATTTTCTTGGATTTTTAATTTTTTTTTGTTGGATTAATCATTATAACATTTTGTTAAAAATATAAAAGTAATTATCACTGGTTCATTACATTACATTAATATTCATCGCATATCGAATGTTGCATTATTTCAATATCTATCAACAAATTATCCAATAAACAACAAGTAAAAATTATATAACTATTATTTGGTGTTTGCTAGGTATATTATAATATACTGTGAACACTATAAGGATACATTATATAAGCATGAATGGTAAGAACATCGTTGGAGTCATCAGAGTTACCGCGTGCGCGCCGTTCGTAAGGTTAAACAACAGTTTAATGCGGTCAGGACTTCTTGAGTAGGTGACCAGTAGTATACCGCTTGGGATCGAAATTATCGCAAGAGGATTCATGAAAGTTTGGAATGTGTTGACAACCTTCGATATCTAGTAGTTTATGAGACATGAGAAAATTAGGAATATAAGTATATTTTTATAAACATTATGATTTTCTCATTTTTCATCTTCGCATAATAATTCTCAGTATTTGATTACTATCAATATTTAACAGTGATTTTATTATCAGTATTCATCAGAAATTAAGTACTGGCTAAAAAATTACTGGATTACTAGTAATATTTAATCATTAATAATTTTTCAGTATTTCTTAGTATGATATTTCTATAAGGGCAGTTCATGTTCTGTTGACAGAATCTGTTGATATAATTTGACAATAAATTGGCGCCAGAAACGGAGAAAGATTTGTAGCATATTTCATTTAACGCGACACTATTGATGTATGTGAAACACGAAATGATTTCTAAGCACAGTATTTCAAAATTTGCATCTAGGGAATAAAAACACTTACAAAGGGAAACTACGAAGTGTGGGTCACCGATTTTGATGGGCTTTGGCACTGATTTTCTTCATCGAAAATAAATATACAAGTATCTCATCGTTTATCTAGATATCCTTACGTTTTCGAAAAAATCGAGATCAAAGATTATAACATCGGATTCTTTTTGGACCAGAAGGTACTTATAGATCTTCAAAAATTAATTAATCACTTGACTGGCACGCGCTTTATGCGAGAAGAAACTCGCCTTACTTCTATGCTGGAAATATATTATTGAATTTAAAAAGTTACTAATCTTATATTTTTGTCATCAAGGAATCCAAATTTTATGTCAAAATTAAAAAATTTTCAAACCCCAATGCACTATGGTCTGTTTAATACGCACGGAAAATTCTTTCCTTTACATTGATTTGAGAACTAAGATACTCCGGGGTCGTGATTCACATTACCAGCAAATGCGCAAAAGTTAATTACGTTTATGTTTTAGAAATGTTTATTACAATTTAACTTAACAAACAATATTATAAAACTATAATCTTAGTTCTCAAATCAATGTAAAAGAAAAAATTTTCCGTATTAAACAGTCAATAGTGCATCGGAGTTTGAAAATTCTTTAATTTTGACATAAAATTCGGATTCCTTGATATCAAAAACATAAGATTAGAAACCTTTTAAATTCAATAACATATTGCCAGCATAGAAGTAAGGCAAGTTTCTTCTCGCGTAAAGCGTACGACTATTGGCGCGCGTGCCAGTTGTGACACGGATAGGAATACGCCTTTTGGCGCGCGTACTAGTCAAGTGGTTAATAACTTTTGCTAATATATTTGTAAGTCGCAAATGTATATTTTTCGAGTTATTAAAGATTATATATGCACGTAGTGTAGCATGAATACCCGTGACTTCGTTAAAGCGTCGGACGCATTTTCTGTGAACCTGTGTTTGATTCTTCGTATTGTTTTTTTTATATTTTCATTATATATATATATATATATATATATATATATATATATATATATATGAATATATTATTATTCGCTTTGTAAAAATAAATAACAACAATTAAATAAGTATTTAATTAGTTTTTTAGTATTAGGTGCGCAACTAAGTTCTCGCTGTTTTTTTTATGAAAATGCAACTTTATTGTGAAAAAATGGTTACAAATGAATCATTCAAAGTATTGCCCATCGCTAGCTATAACTTTTTCCCATCTTTCTAGCAGAGCTCGAATACCGTTACGGTAAAAGCGTTCGTCTTGTGAGGCTATCCACGAATCAAGCCATTTTTTGATGTCTTCATATGAGCGGAACTGCTGATCAGCCAGACCATGTGCCATCGAACGGAACAAGTAATAATCGGACGGCGCAATATCTGGGGAATATGGCGGGTGGGGTAGGACTTCCCATTTGAGCGTTTCCAAGTAGGTTTTAACGGGTTTGGCAACATGAGGCCGAGCGTTGTCATGCAGTAGAATCACTTTTTCGTGCCTCTGCTCGTATTGTGGCCGTTTTTCGCGCAGTGCTCGGCTCAATCGCATCAATTGAATTCGATACCGTTCCCCAGTGATGGTTTCGTTCGGTTTCAACAGCTCATAATAAATAACACCGACCTGGTCCCACCAAATACACAGCATAACCTTCGCAGCGTGAATATTCGGCCGAGCCGACGACGTAGAAGCATGACCGGGCAGTCCCCATGACTTTCTTTTCTTTGGGTTGCTGTAATGAATCCATTTTTCATCACCCGTCACGATGCGATGAAGAAAACCCTTCCTTTTTTGCCGCTGGAGCAGTTGTTCACAGGCGAAAAAACGACGCTCAACGTCCCTTGGCTTCAAATCATAAGGAACCCAAGTTCCTTGCTTTTGAATCATTCCCAACGCATGCAATCGCTTGGAAATGGCTTGGCGGGTAACTCCTAATGCTGAAGCAAGGTGTTCTTGCGTTTGGCACTGATCCTCATCGAGCAATGCCTCCAATTCAGCGTCTTCGAAGGTTTTTGGCCTTCCTTCACGCGGACGGTCGTCAACATCGAAATCACCGTCTTTGAAGCGACGAAACCAATCACGGCACGTTGTTTCACTTAGGAGCTCTTTTACTTTTTGGAGCTCTCGATGCGCTTCAGCCGCCATTTTCTTCGAATGAAATAAGAAAATCAACACTTCCCGCAAATGACGATTATTTGGCACAAAATCAGACATTTTCACACAACCAAAAGTATATGACGCCAAAACAAAATCACTAACGTGTCAAACGGTTTGTTTACCATATGTCTAAGCTTGGTTCATGACGTTTTGGATATGTCAAAATCGACCAGCACTTACTGCTGCAGCCATCTATTGACAAACAGCGGGAACTTAGTTGCGCACCTAATATATACAGAGAGTTTCTAAAATCAGTTACCATCCTCATTATTTCGAAAGCGATTCAAAATTCTAAACAATCACAAAATTCGTGTTCAATCATTTCAAAGAGCTACTTTTTTAAAAGTATAGGGTCGTCTCCACCGAAGAGAGTACACGGAATACTCGACTTTAAAATGTTAAAACCCCCTATTTTTTATTGCATATTCTCATAACTTATCTCGAGAGCTTTTCAAAACACTAAAATAAACTATTTTTTTGTTAAGTACTTTTTGAATTATGAAGCTTGAAAGTCAACAGCATGTGTTGATATGTGTGCATACGAACGACACGGCGCACAATGGTCACTTTTATCGATCTAAGCGAATGAAATTATCTTATTTGATAAAACATATAATTAATGCTTGGAAAACCTTGTAAAATGATAGAAAACTAATTTAAATGAATAGTTTATAAATGTTTAAGAATATATTGCTGAAACCCCCCGCATGGGTTCCCACCTTGTCGTTGGTGGTGGGGCTGTGGCTGCGGTCGGGGTATCCGCTCAGGGATGTTTCCCGGCCGCAGTCATCTAAGAGGAACCCCCCAAGCCAAGATGTTAGCAACCGTGCTGAGGGCTGCGTGGCACAGGGGGAGCTGTGTCATGAACGGTGCCTCCCGGATACCGGGCGACCTTCGGGAGTACGCTGCCGAGCCCCGGGCAATCGCGGCTCTGCCCGGGTGAGATCGCGCGACCGCGGTACTCGTGGGAACAAGTATGGACACAGGTACAAACAAAAGCAAAAAAATATATGACCTTCTCCAGGAGGTGGCTTCTTTAGGAAGTGAACCTAGAGAAGGAGGAAGCGACGCGGGATCGAGTACCGATGCTCGGTCCGATTCCGCGGTAAGGAAACTCGTAGAGCCACGCCCGAAAATGAGTGGGGCTGCGAGAAGAAAGCTGAAGAGACAGCGGGCGAGAGAGAGGGCTGAAGAGACCTCTGAATCGGGTGCTGCCTCTGGAGGCGTAACAGGAGCTCGGGGGAAGGCGGGTCCATCAGGGACGCAAAGCGCCCCAGACCGAATCTCGCGACCCCCAGCCCTTCAGAAAAACGCCTGGACAAGAAGCCCAAGGTCAGTGACCAAGGATCCTTTGCACAGGCGACTAAAGGAATAGTCAGGGTGGCACTTATTATTGAGGGTTACCTTGAAAACAAGATCAAACTCAGGGAAATAGCCATTATTAAAAAACTGATGAGGGAAAGGATCCTGGGACTTCCAAGAGGCACCAGGGCTCCCCTCTTTACCGATGTTTGGGAGAGAGACGGGGCAATCATTTGCGGTTGCGCCAATGTAGAATCCGCGGACTGGCTGAAAAGCCTATCCTCGTAGTTAAAACTAGGGGAAAATGAGCTACATGTGCTGCCGCTTGAGGAGCTTCCGAAGCGTCACAGGCTGGTAGTACACCTAGAGGAGCCGGATTTGGCTGTCAAGAAGGCGTTAGAACTCCTTGACAGATAAAATGCAGGACTGGCAGCTAGCGAGTAGGTTGTCGTCAGGGGGAGCGAGAGCAGGGACACCCACTTCGCTGTTCTTGTCGGCGACTCCTCTCTGAAGGCCCTAAAGGACTGCGGAATGAAACTCTTCTGCGGGATGGGCCGGGCAACTGTAAAGTTGACTGGCAAGGAACGCAGAAGGGAGATGGAAGCCGCTGTAACGAAAGAGTCTGCCTAGAAATGATAGGTCTCAAAGTTCCAGTGGTGCAGATTAACTTGCATCACAGCAAAGGCGCCTCAGCGATTTTAGCTAAGGGCATGGCTGTGATGCAGACAGCAATAACACTTGTACAAGCACCATGGCTCTTGAACAACGCTATAAAAGGCCTGAGCGGTAGTGGCAAGATTATCTCGTTCACCACGCAGAGAAAAATAAGGACATGTATAGTGACAAAAGATCTAAATGCAATCTTTGTGCCGCAGTTCAGTAATGGAGACATCACAGTGGTACAAGTAAAGCTTAATCTGGACGAAGGGACCCACAGGGATGTATTGATGGGGTCAGTCTACATGCCCTATGACGCCAAAGACTTTCCACCCTAGAGGGAAGTCAAGGAGCTGATGAAATATGCGGAGGAGAGAGGGCTGGAGGTACTCCTGGGTTGCGATACAAACTCCCACCATGTGGGATGGGGGAGCACGGGCATCAACCCGAGAGGGGAAAGCCTACATGAATTCGTCATGGACAGCAAGCTAATCATCCTAAACAGAGGAACGGAACCCACCTTCATGGACTGCAGAAGACGTGAGGTTATAGACCTAACCTTGTGTACGAGAGGAGTGGCTGACCTGGTGAGAGACTGCAGGGTCTCAAACGAACCTTCGGGATCTGATCACAGGCAGCTACGTTTTGCGCTCGAGTACAGGGAAAAGGGGAAATGGGGTCGCAACCCCAGAGGCACAAACTGGACGAGCTACAGGAAGGACCTTGGGACCATTCTGAAAAAAGCCCCGTTCAGATTTAATACAAAACAGGATCTAGAAGTGGCGTCGCAGTTTGTCAGCGACGCTATCATAGAGGCCTATGAAGTAAACTGCCCACTAAGGCGGAAACAAGTCTCAACCAAGGTCCCATAGTGGAATAATGAGCTTATTAAGCTCAAGGTTGAGACAAGAAGGCTTTTCAATAGAGCAAGAAAGTCAAAAGTGGAAACTGATTGGGCAGCTTTCAGGAGCTCCCAACGACGCTATAGCAAAGAAATCACAATGTCAAAGAGGAGGAGCTGGAGGGAGTTCTGCGGGAGCGTTGAAAGTTCTCCGGAGATATCCAGACTCAACAAAATCCGCAGCAAAGACAATTCACCTCAACTGGGATATCTTAAGCTCCCGGATGGAAGATACACTGAATCAACGGAAGAGACACTGAGACACTTGATGTCCACTCACTTTCCGGGATTCAGAGAGGATGTCACGATTCGGGGCAACAGAGACGAGGATTAATCAAGAGAACCTCGTATGACCAAAGAATGGTCCCTCGCGGCCAGAATCGTACAACCGAGCGGGGTCAAATGGGCAATAGAAACCTTTGAGCCTTATAAGGTACCGGGACCGGACGGCATTTACCAGACACTCCTAAGGGAGGGACCGGAGGTGCTGACAGGTCCACTAACAAAAGTACTCAGGGCTAGAATAGCCCTGAGATATGTACCACAAACCTGGAGGGAGACAAGGGTAGTCTTTATCCCTAAACCAGGCAGAAACGGTCATATCTTGGCCAA